CAGGCATTAGCAATCGATCGCCGATCGAATCGATCGGCAGGCATTAGCAGTCGATCGTCGATCTAATCGATCGACAGGCATTAGCAATCGATCGCCGATCGAATCGATCGACAGACATTAGCAATCGATCGTCGATCTAATCGATCGACAGGCATTAGCAATCGATCCCCGATCTAATCAATCGGCAGGCATTAGCAATCGATCGCCGATCGACTCGATCGGCAGGCATTAGCAATCGATCGCCGATCGACTCGATCGGCAGGCATTAGCAATCGATCCCCGATCGAATCAATCGGCAGGCATTAGCAGTTGATCGCTGAGCAATCAATCGACAGGCATTAGCAATTGAGCACTGAGCAATCAATCACACTCGTTGCACAGACCTTGCCTACTCTTTACACACTTCTTGCACACTTATTGCACCCTCCTTGAACACAACTCACACACTCCATGCACACTTAGTCACACTCATTGCACATCCCTTACAAACATCTTGCACACTCCTTGAACAGTCCTTCCACACTCGTTGCACTCTCCTTGCAGTACTGCCAGGGCGCTGGCTCGCAGGGTGGCTGCTTTGTGGACAGGCAAGGGATGGCAAAAAGGAGAATCCCAATCCTTCAAAAAATCCTCCTAAATGAATATCTTAAGCTGGCACCCACCTGGCCTCTGGCATCCTGGGCTGGGAAATCTTGCAAGTGGACCACCTAAAATAAAAAAAAAAAAAAACAGTGGATGCTTAGAGTTGCACAAGAAATTGAGAACTGAGCAAAAACAACTGCTTTAGTCCACAGGTCACAGCTCACCTTGCCCACTTCACCTTGACTGCTGATATCCAGCTTTATTTCCTGAAAATAAAGACAAAGAACAGCGCTGTAACACAGTCACTATTTACACTTCCCCTGCAAAGACAAACATTGACCGACCTTCTCAGGGGAACCCCCTCACCCAGGATGGGGCGCTCTGCCACGTATTTGATCCATCTGCATCTGAAGGGAAGTTAGGACAAAAGTCAGAGCACTGCAAGATATCTTAAGAGCTCCAGACATCTTGGGTCAATCCACAGACATCATCTAGAGTCCCAACAACACCCCATATTACAAATTTCAAGTCCCCGGGACTTGTCCTATCACACCTACACCCAGACTATGCAGCAGGGCAGGGCAGCTCCAGGCCAAATACGTGCAGGCACCCGTGACACAGGGCATGACAAACAAGGAGGTGACACAGGGAGGAAAAAACTCTAGGCTGGAAGAATGACCACAAGGACCAAGAGAATGCAAAATGAGATGACTGAGCTGAGACTGAAGGCGAGCTGACAAGGCTGGAAGAAGATGCTAGTAGAATGATTTATTCCGAGAACCACAACGATGGATGCCTGAGAATCCTCTGGTCAGAATCCTCTCCCTGTCTTTGCATCCAAGTCCTAATCCACTGTAATGGATCCTCGCGGTGTCGATACAGCTCAGAACAAGACCTTAAAAGACATCAGACCAGATGCTTCTAAAGAAAGATGAGATTCTGATGCCTGTCTGAGCTCCTGGGTCAAAGGTTCAATGGCGTTGGCACCAGGCGAGGAATGCAGAGATCAGAGATGCTAAGAATGATGCCAGGGTTTCTGTTTTGTTATCTACTGTGGTGCCAAAGCCTCAGGGCTGAGCTCTGGGCATTTGAGGATGGGAATAGGAAAGGGTCAGCCCATGGGGGAACCTCTGGCTTTGAACAGCTGCTTTTTTTGTGTCAGGCTGTCCATGGACATAGCCCTGCTTTGCTGCTGAAAGCATGACTGTCCCAGAACATGAACACACTGACAGTGTCAGTACAGCTGTCACTTCTATCAAATACATATTTGATGGAGATGTTTGGTTTCCTGCCCCTTGGATTTCTGCCAGATAGCCAAAGAAACAAAGTTATGGGCAGATTCTGTGGGCAAACTGGGCACTTTCAGTGGGCTATTTGGCTTCTGAGAAGTCAAGTTGGTCCACTTTGGAAGAGAAATCACCGCTTTCTAGAGCCTGATGGGCCAAAAGACCTGTGAATTATAAAGATGCACAGGGACTGGATAAATCCCATACAAACAGCTCACTGCTCTTCAAGGGTCTTACACAGCCACCTCCTCAGCCTGACCTGGGGCAGGAGAGAACCATCAATATGGGTTTTTTTCCCAATAAAAATGAAGAAGGCAAGACTGGGCCCTGGTCTGTGTGAGAACAAGCAAATGAACCCAGATGACTCACTTTCTTCATAATTCTCTAACCACTGGGACAGTCTTTCTTCTTTTACAATATCTATTTGAAAACCTGCAGTGTCCTTTTAGGTATTGCATAGCCTATTTTAAGGATCAGACTTTTTCCTCCCTTGGTTTTCTAGAATATCTGAAGAAGCATGAATACATGTATCAGCTGAACCAGGCTCCATGCAGCATTCCCGTGTGGTTTATTTCCACTCATGCTTCTGCTATGGGCACATCACTGAGTGTTCCCCAGTGCCATGGCCACGGTGTCCTGGCTCTGGGTGCTGGCTGCCAAGGGCCACCGAAGCAGCTGCATCTGGAATTGAACCGTCAGCGGCACCGGCTGGAGCTCTTGATCCTCCTCCACTTCAGCAGTGTCTTTGTTTTTTCCTTTTCCTGGGGTAAGAAGTACATTTATCACTGTCTTGAGGGAGTAAATCATCCTTAAAAGCAGCAGCAAGGGCCTCGAGGGAAATCTATTTGAATATGACTTTGTATGATAGGCCCAAAATGTATCTTTAGACTGGCAATTGACCTGGGTGCAGCCTTGCTTTTTGTTGTGAAACTGCCCTAGGGCAACATAAAAATGCAGAAATAAATTATTTCAAGGATCCTGGAAAATCAAGTGTGGGGTAAATGAGACCTACGTGAGACTACTTCCAAAGACATCCTTCAGTGTCTGGGCAAATGGTTCACTTGTGACAAAAGCCTGCTGCCTTTCCTCTTTGAGCCGCCTGGAAGTGATCCCAATTCCTCTGAAAAGGCTTCTTATTTGTGTGCATTCGCTGACTGAGGGATGCAAATCAGCCTCAGCTCCCGGCTGTGAGTGCCGGTCCCTGCACAACCCCGCTGGACACAGAGCTGGGAGCCACCCCCTGTCCCCCGGGGCACGGCCACTGTCCCATCTCCAAAGGTGCGTGGTCCCCAGGTGATGAGCGAGTGTCAAACAGCCCCGGAGCAGCTGGTGACTCAGGGGACAGGCAGGATGTGCAGACACTGAGATCGGCAGGGCTCGAGCAGCCCCCCCAAAAGCCACGACTGGGGTGTCCTGGTGAGTCACAGCCGTGGGACAGCGGGTGTAGCGAGCTGTGGAGCAGCTCATTTTTAGGCACTGTGAATTTTGCACTGACACTTTGAAATATGCACTCAGTGGCCTCACAGTGCAGCCAAGCGAGCCTCCACCTGCACAGGCACACGGGGACACCAAATTAAGCACAAATCTCTAATAGCCGTGGGTTTCCTGCAGCAGCAGCACTTCTGTGCACACAACAGCGTTTCTACCCTCATTCAAGCTGAAGAGAAACCTCCTGCACGCACTGACCACATACCAGGGAGGGAAGGAAAAAAGAAACAGCCACTGCTGAAGCTGAGCTGTTTGACAGCAGCTGCCTGCTTCAGCAACAGGCTGAGTGTACATCGCAAATACACATCTTCTTGTGGGGGACAGCAATTCCAGGAATTCTTTTCAGATCGCTGGGGGAGGCCACAGGCTTCTCTCAATGCAGACACAGCCCAGGACTGCAGAGCTCTGAGAGCGTCCCCAAAGATGGGGACCTTGCTGTGGGTGACAGGGCACAGGAAAGGAGCCTGGAGCTCTGTGGGTTAACTGCACTCTTAAATCTGATGCCAGAGCAGGAAAACAAATCTCCTTTGGTAGCTCTGAGCTCTGGCCCTCTCCATGCTCTCCTTGACCCACGAGCAGCTTTTCAGCATTGCTTGGCCACCCCTTCCCACTTCCTCCCACTCTTGCATCTCTTCCTCCCCTTCCGATATGTCGGCACTGCTATTTTTGCAGTCAAAAACAAGATTGCTGGAAAAAATAACCTGCAAGAGGCAGGATGAGGTTTGCCTCTGGCAGATTAAGCAACGCTGCTGTCTGAGCAGCTCTGAGCTCCGCGTTGAAAAGCAGGGGACACACCCGGTGGGGTCGGGGTGTTCTCTTCATGGGTGACAGTAGACTGGGATCTGTTCCCAGCCCTGCCATGGGCTGGCTGGGGCACCTGGGGCTCTCTGTGCATCTCATCTCCAAACCAGAGAGAACAATAATCCCCTCTACAAAGCGCTTGGAGATGCGAGCTGGCAGTGGATGAGGAGCTCATTTGTGCATCCCAGGCAGCCCTCGCCCAGCTGCCCGCCCACGCCACCGCCCACATTTGGCAGCCAGCACAGTGGGCAGCACTTTTCTCTCCCAAAAATCTGCTTTGCCCTTCTCCCCTGGCACAGGGTGCTGTAGGTGTGTGTCTCACAGCCCACCCTCGGTGCTTGTGCAGACACCAGCTCATGGAGAGTCCAGGCTGTGTCTGTCCTGAGAGCCCTGCAGTCAATGTCTGTATTCACGGCTCAGGATGTGAGTAAGTCCCTGCTCCTGGAGCTGGCAGGGTGGCTGGGCCCTGCTCCTGTTTGCTCTCACACACCCCACCCTCTGCCCTGCCAGCTCCAGCCTCTGTCACCTTTGGGAGGTTTTCTGGCTGGCCTCACCTTCTTTCTCTGCTTTGGGCTTTTTGTTCTTGTCTTTGCCTTTTTTTACCTCCTGTGGAGAGAGATGGTTCCACAATTAGGCTGTGTTGAAACTCACTGCCCTCATTCAGTCTTGTGACAGCTGTCATCATCTGGGTGCTGTCACTGGGATTTCAGGGGCAGAGGAAAGAGGGGAGAGGGAGCAGGAGCAATGCAGAGTGGCTGCTCAAGAAGAGAATCCAGGAAACAAAGTTGGTACAGCTGGTACGTGCTGCCATGCTGAGAGAGCACCAGAGGAAGCATGAGTGGCTGCTTACACATTCTGGAATGGAAAAATAAACTCATGTATTCTCCTAGGCCCAGAAAAAGTAGCAGTACTGCTTGCTAATATCAGCCTTAAATAACCACACCAGCAGCGATAGATGCTGGTTAGGCAGGGCTATTTCAGCCCCATTTTGGGGAGAGAAGAACTGAGGGATGGACAGATGGACACCCAGATCAGAGAGGGCATTTCTGAACCCCAGCCTGCAGCCCTGTCCTGGGACATGCTCCTTACCTTCTCCTCCAGAAGTGATGGTTCTGGTGGTTTCTCAGGGATCAGGATCCCAAAGTCACACACAGTTGCCACCAGGTCCTCGGTGGCCAGCAGGGTCTCCAAGGTCACCCTCATGGTGCCCAGGGTGCTCCGAATGGGAGGGTCGCTGCGAAATTCACATGGCTGCTGCTTCTTCTTTTTCTGCTTGTCCTCAGACATGGGGACAGGTCTCAGCAGAAGGCTGGAGTCCTTTTATCTGAGAGAAGTAACCCCAACCCAGCCCCTTGCCCACCACTGCATCCTGGCCAAGGTGTGTGTCAACAGCTGCTGCCTTCCCCCCACAGAAAGGGGAGACTTTGGGAGAGGTCTTTCTCTCTGACACACCAAACTGACTCAGGAGAAGGGTCCTTGTTCTCCCATCACTGTTTTTGCACCTCAGATATAATTTGGTCATTGTTCTTTCCCAGCACCCTACCTTTGCACCGTTCTTCTTCAGCTCCTGCCCCTCCTTTTTATTTGTGACAGCGTTTTCTTCTGCATCAGCATCCACAGGCCAGGAAAGCACCTGCCAGGAGAGAGGAGCTGGCTCAGGGTCACTGCCATCCCAGCCTGCCTCCCAGGGGGAATGTGATGCCACTGGCTGGGCCTCCCAGCAGCTCTTCCCCCTTCATCCAGCTCGGCCACACCCTCACCTTCTCCTCCACAACCGAGACAATCGCTCCAGCCTCCAGGTAGGATTTCAGCCTCACCAAGTCCTTGGCAATGTGTTCCTTCCTGTAGCTGCAGTCAATGGTGTCTGCCCAGGGCTGTCCAGGGGTGGCAAACACCTTTGCTGTGTAGGGACACAAAAGAGTTCAGAGGAGACCTCTCTTTCCCCAGGACAGAAGGACCCCCAGGACATGGCTGGTGCCAGCTCCATCAGTCCCAGGAGCAGCCCAGCTGGCAGTGTGAGGGACATCCCGATGCCACCACATCACACAAAGAGCTACAAACCTGCCCTGAGAGATGGGACAGAAGACCATGAGATTCCTCATTTACCAGAGTGGGCCCTGGGCTCCTCTGTGGCTGCAGGCTCCTGATGGCTCTTTGTTTCTCCTGTGTCCTGAGCAGAGCTGTCCACATTCAGCGTGGCCACTGTGGGACTCTGGTGGATTTTTGTTCCCTGGAACAGAGATGGATCTGCCTCCAAAATCCTATTCCCCAGCCCACCCTCATGGGAAGAAGGGACTTCAGTGCCAAGGAAAGGGTCTGCCATAGTCAGCAGGAGAGGGGCTGTGATTGCAGTCCCACGTGCAGAGCTCTGGGCTCCCTGAGAGGGATGTGGAACGTGGGCAGCTGGGGCTTGTCCTGCTGGATGCAGCCACATGGGAATTCTGTCCCCAGCACTGCTGCTGCCCACGCCAGGCCCATCAGCCCATAGCCTGGAGTTCCCCCTGCTGTGACCTGCCATGCTGCTTGTTTCCAGGAGCACAATCAAGCACCAACCTCAGGGCTGCCCCTGTCCTCGAGCTCGTCTCCCTCTGCAAACTCGTAGGTCACACAGTAGCTGTAGGTGATCACTGGTCCCTCGGAGCCAACCTCCAGCAGCTGAAAAGCTTCGGGATTAGGGAGTCCCTTCAACTCCCCAATGCTCACAACCACCCGTGCTTCACTCCTGATCAGCTCTGAAAGGAAGGCAATCTTGCCATGAAGCTGCAGCGCCTCCCTTCCAGAGAGAGGAAGGAACAGAGCAAGCAGAAACCTCCAGGTCCCATGTCTCACCTGCTGGCATCCCTCGGTGCCAGCCTGTGCAAATGCTGTGACAAACCAGTGCCACGTGGGGTCACTCCAAAGCCACACAAACACCTCTTGGCTTGGCTGCTCTGCTCCTTCAACATTTGGGTCTCCAAAAAGCACATTCAGCACATAAACTCATTGAGTAGGGGCCATCAAGAGAGGTTTCCCATCCCGGGTGTCCCCAGCCTCCTGCTGTCATCCCAGTCAGGGACGTGGCACAGAGGTGGCACTGCTGTGTGCAGACAGTGCAGCTCCATGTGAGCACCTTCCCCTGTACAATATTCCTCTTGCCACAGCTTGGGAGGGAAACACATGGCCTGAAACCAGTGCTGGGACTGGGATTGGTTGTTCTTGGGCCTAAGGCTGAAACTGCCTCGACTGTAATTACAGAGCTCAACCACAATGCAAACTCCACTCCTGGATCACAGGATCAGCACGGGCAGGCTCAAAGGCATGGGCTCACCTGGCTGCCTTGCCAGACCATGGAACTGCTGCCTCTCTTCAGGCCATATGTGGATGTCATCGAGGATGAACAGCTTGGGCAGGCTGTCCACAAGGAAGCCTCTGTAAGTGGGGGTGAGAGCCAGTGGGTTGCCTTGGAGCAGCAGGATGTGGAGGTTCTGCAGGGTGGATAGTTGGGACACCAACCCTGGCAGGTCCGTGAGGCTGTTAAAGCTCAGATCAAGGGAGACAAGGTTTGGCCTAAGGAGAGAACCCAGGGAAGGAGGTAAGGCAGCCAGCACCCATTTGAGGATAGAAAGCTACAGCCCTGGGACAAAAACAGAAACAAAAATCATATTTTCCCAGAACAAACTGGGTTGAACTGAGGAATCAAATCTGGAGGCCAGTTCCAAATTCCTGTCATACCATCCATTGCCAGTCTGCCCCACAAAACAAAAACATTGACCCCACTGCACCATTTGGTGATGCAGTTTACACTTCAGATCCTTACAGACTTCCAGCAGTGGCTTTGGGAAGGACATGGAAAAATTAAACTGCCCAGGGAAATGGAACTGTGGTGGGCAGGGTGTCAGGGCAGCTCCCCTGGTCATCTCCCCATTCCACACCTTGCTAAGGACCAAGACAACCTCTAGGCATGAGACAGATTGCTCTGCACAGAGAGTAGACACAGAGCAAAGAAACAACCCTTCTGAATTTTCCCAAAAAGGGCCACCTCCATGGCTTGAGGTCACCTCTTCATATCTGCTTGTTTCCCTTCCAGGAGCCCACGTTCAGCTTGTGGCATTACCAGAAATCCATGGTGAGGTGCTTTTCCTGGGAAGGGCCACAGAGCCGGTTGTAGCCCAGCCCCAAGTGCTGGAGTTTCGGGGGTGGCCGAGCACACAGGTCCTGCAGATCACCCACAGCATTGCAGCAGAGCTCCAGGACCTGCCCAGGACAGAAGGAACAACAAACACCTTGGAAACGAGCTGTTCCTGACACCCTCTCGAGCTGTTTGGCTTCCACTGTGCTCCCACATGGGAATTCCTATCCCATCCTGCATAAGACCCTTCCTGCTCACCTTCAGAGTCCGGGGCAGGTGGGCTGAGGTTACTCTGCTGATGTGGTTGGCACTGAGGATGAGCTCCTCCAGCTGCTGGAACCGCAGCAGACCCTTATCCACCTCCTCCACCTGCAAAGAGCTGGGTTTGGCCAACTTGTCCCTGAGGCACGTCGTGGGCAGGGTGACATGGACACGTGTTGATCTGTGTGACATCTGTGTGACACGGATTAGCACAACAACCTGGGGAGGTTGTGGGGAGAAGCTCTACTCAAGCTGCAGCACCTGGGAAGACCCTGGGATGGGAAGGTGTCCTTTTCCCAAGATGTTTTCCTCCAACACAGTTTCCTGGCCTACAGCTTTATGGGCACCAGCAGCTGCACTTACCCCCTTGTCGAGTATCCGCAAGGATTTGACAAGCTGGAAGATTCTGGAGCCACGGAGGAGCTCGGGTGCCAGCACGGCCACTTCCCGCAGGAGCCGATGCTGGGGGCTGCAGTCGGGGGGCAGTGCCCAGGGGCTGTGCTGATCCCTCAGCAGCTCCAGCAGCGCCTCGGGGCTCTCCTCTCCCGGTGGCACAGCCTCCTCCAGCCCTGCTGGCTCTGCCCGGGGCCTCCTGCGGGCATGGAGGCGGGATTTGTTCTGCAGACAGGGAGAGAGGAGAGGCAGTGGCAGCCCTGTGCCATGTCCCATGGCTGTGCCCCTCCAGATTCTTACCCAGCTGCCGAGGCCACAGGGGAAGTCCTGCAGCCCCAGGTGCTGCAGGTACTCCTGAAAAGCAGCCGAGACGCTGCGGGGTGCTGCCATCCAGCCCCAGCCTGGCAGGGAAGCCCCTGGCTTAGTGGTTTGTGTTTCTGTTGCTAGGAGATGGTGCCATGGAACCAAACTCTCCAAGCAGAGGGTGGAGCAGGTCTGGAATAACACCAAGCTGGCCCAGCTGGGAATAAATCCCTGGTTTTCTGGTTCCTAATGGGTTCTGGGGGCTGCTCTCCACCAGGGAAAAGCAGGTGGCCTCATGCTGCACTGAGGGTACAGCATCAGCGTTCTCCTGTGGCTGGGGACCCGTGGCATGGAATTTGCCATTTCCCTTATCTGTGTCCTGAGTGTCACTCGGGTTTCAGGGAAGAAGCAGTCTGCTCTGAAAGCCCAGTTCTCCACTTTACATGGGGTGCACTGCCACACAGCCATGTAAGGCCATCAGAAAACAGGCTCACGACTGAAAATACCAGCTCCCACACTTGGAAAAAATAGGTGAACTCCAGGAACAAAAGCCACAGCTGTGTCTCAGGTCAGCATCAGGTCTCCACACACAAATTTCCTTTTTCCAGCGATAGGTGTTGAGACAATGGCCACAAATTCCATTTTAGAGAGCTGACAGAGCAGCATGTGTCAGCAGAACTTCACAAATGAATCGCAGGTGCCCTGTGGTGTCTGATGGTTACGTGGTGGAAAGCTGAAGTTCTCAGGCTGGGTTTTACAGGACGGATGCTGACCTGCTCCCTTATCAGCTCAGCAGCTTATCACAGCTCATGTACAGACCGGAAAGGATGTGCACAGCTTGCACAGGCTATGAGATAATGGCATGTCCTGGAGTGGAATAACCACATAAAGTGCTGTCCTTAGGAGAAAATGAAGTAAAATCTTCTGAAAGTCTTTGAAAGAAAATTACCAGTGGTTGAATTGTGTTTGGTGGAAAAGCAAAGCTGTAAAAAATTCTGCTTCTTTTATTTGCATCACTAATTAAAATAACTCCACCCCATTGCCTTCAGTGCTGCAGAGATACTCCTGCTCTTGGGGGAAGACCAGATCCCAGTATTCCCTGGCAGTGCCCAATGGCATCTTTTATGTACAAGCTCTTGCACCTTCCACAGATCTTCCTGTGGGCCACTGACCAACTGCATCTCTGCAGGTTTGGTGCTTCCAAACAAGAAACGCTCCAAGATCACCCTTATGCTTGAAAGGAGCCATCTGTACCCACCACTGCCTTTGTAGGGACGTCCCCTAAAGAACACCACACACAAACATCTCTCTTTCTCTCTGTCTCCATTTTCCCACCAAATAATAATAAAACCCTCAAATAAAATAAGTGTCTGCCAGTCCTTTCTGTAAGCCATGGTAACTCATCTCTTCCTTGGCATTATTTAGCATCTATTCTCTTTTGGTGTGTATGAGAATTCCCTGCTTTTGGTACTGGAAGCAGAAAACAGCCTCAGGGGAGTTGGAGAGATGGGTGACAGGGATGGGGAGAGGGGATCCTGAGCATCCCTTGGGAACAGGGTCTTACAGGCATCCAGCAAAAAGATTTATACATGGAACTGGAGGTCTGACCTACCTTGCACACAAACCTTTTTCCTTCCCTGCATTGGCCCACTCTCACACTGACTCTGAAGGAGAAGCAATGACTTTGGGCAGCAATATCGTGCTCCCAACCACCTTAATAAATAAAACAAGAGTTTATGTTCCAAATCCTACACTTTGGAGAGCCCAAGGACTTAGATGGGATGGTCAAGCCAAGTATCCCAAGCTCTTAGTCAAAGAAATGACACAGGACACACTCTATGTCAGTTTGAAACTGCACTTAGATCACAATCAGTGAAGACGCATTTGAATCAACTTTCGATGTAATCTGTCAAAAAAGAAAAAAACCCGAATTATCGCTGGCAAAAAAAAAAAAAAAAAAATACTGTGGGGGAGCCACTGACGCAGGACTCCCCAGCACTTAAATGCAGCCTGGCTGGCCCCATCCACAGCACTCCAGGCAGGCAGAAGCTCCAGAAGCAGCTCCAACGCCAGCTCCCAGCCAAGCCACTGCTGTCCCATCCCGCCATGGAGTGCAGAGCAGGTGGGTGTGATTTACCCTTGCTACAGGCTGTAAGGTTGCCCTGGTTGATGTTCATCTCCAGCTCAACCATTTCATGCTTAAATGCTTTAAAAATTTATCACGCTGCACAAAACTATTAAGATTTGCAAAAAAAATCTATGCAGAATATCGAGACAACTCATTGTATTCTTTCTTTCCTTTTGGTTTCCTCTCTTCATCTGAATGCAGAGATCAACAGGTTTGCAATCTTCCTCTTCTGTTTACTGGTTCCTTTGGGCTCCATGGCACCGACAGAGACATCAGAAAGCAAAGTGACTACAGGACAGAGGCTGAACCATTTCACTACAGAGATACCGACCTACGCAGTAGTAATACAACAGAAAGCACATGAATTGTTTGAATTCTATGTAAGTGCACCATTTTCCATGTGCTGTGCCTATGTCTGTGGAGAAATCTCTTAAATTATTATAAAGCACTAGAAAGATCACCAGAAAAAGTATTTGGGTTAAAAACTAAAGTAGCCTCTTCTCTGTATTCCATGCAAGAAGGAAAGGGTTCATTGCATTATTTCAGGGCAGTTGGAGCAAGAGCAGCTGCAGAGAGCTTGGGTGACTTTGCCTCAGCTCATTGCCAGCTGGGATCTTCCTGATTTCCAGTGTTCCTTCTCAGTCTCCTAAGTCCTGTTGGGCATCTTCTTGCAGGAATTTAGTCAGATCACTAGAAACATGGTGGGAATTGCTTTGCCCTTCAGTCTGACCCTAGTGCTTGAGCACTTCTGCCAAAAATCCTGTTCACCCATCCTTTCCTTAGAAAGGATGAATTCCTTCATCTGAATTCATTCTTGAAATAAAAAAGCAGAGATGAAAACACACAGAGGCCAAACCAGATTTCTGGAACAGGTAACTTTTGCTGTTACAGCAAAGAATAGAACCCAAGGTTTAGAAAAGCTGAGAACCAAGGCAAGCAAGGCATGGGGGGAGGAACTGCACACTCTGCAACACCTGCTTGATCAGAGGGATGGAGGTGTTAATGCAACAATTGAACCACAACCAAAAACCCCACAAATGGGTAGACAAATGAGAAAGGGAAATCAAAGGATTAACAGTTTCTCTCTCCTCTTCCTTCCCCACAGAACAACTGTATCTCTGCAGCGTTCCACCCTGAGCCCCGGACAGTCCAGTCCGAAGCCAGAGACATGGCAGACAGAATACCCAGATGTCATGCTTTCCAGGCAAGCTGCTGTGCTTTGCACCACATCCAAACCAATCTGAAAACCCTGGAAGGTGACATAGAAACCATCTGTCCCAAGAGCTCCAGAGACGTGGTCGGGATCAACCTCAGCCAGCTGAACGCCACGCTGGGCCAAGGCACCGCCTTCTACAGCTGCAGGAGCCAGGACCTGGCCCAGGTGTATGCCCAGGTACAGAGCATGAACCTGGCAGACAAAAAAACCTACATCTGGTGGGTTATAAAGACATATGAGGACATCATGCAATTTACAGGAAACCTCTACTCTGAAGCAGCAGTTTGATATGCTAGGATGAGAAAATAACTTGAAGATGCTGGAGAGCTGGTTAAATGTCTCAGGGGTTATGGGATCATTTTGATGCCAGGATCAACACTGATAATGTACTTGCTATTCTCTGTAACTATATAATCCAGTTTAATTTAATATTTAAAGGATGAATGTATTAAGTTATTGATTGTATTTATTGTAAAACTATTTATACTGTCTTATTTGCAACAGCATATAATAAGGATGGACTAATATGAGTCAAGGTAATTTAATTAACCAACCTTGACATACATAAGGAATTAAGAAAGTGTAATTTCAGTAATTTTAATGTTATTTATATTTTTATCTTGCAGTTATTTTTAAAAGAAAAGTTGATTGTCAGCAAGCTGATTTTGTACTTCTTTCTACTAGTGAATTTTATTTATGAATTTATACAACATAAAATATTTTTATAAATCTATTTAAGCAATTGTTTATATATTTATTTATTCATTAAACTCTTTATTCATTAAACATTATTAAACTCTTATCTTTTAATACTGAAAGATATCTATTTGCTACTTGGTACATGAATGGTTTTACTCATTTCCTGTTACCACCTTTGGATAGAAACTGGAACTTAATTAAAATATTAATTAAAACAAATATTGCTGCACTGTCTTTTTACTAATTCTTTTTTACAACGTGTTTTGCACTGGCCCTGTTTAGCTCAGACTTCTCCAGGAAAAGTGGTTTTGATATCAACTGAGCTGCACTGTCAGCCCCCAAAAGTCTGAGGGGGTATCCTAGAAAAGCACTCAAGTTTCCCAAGAGGAACAGAGGGACCAAGCTCCTTGCTGGAGCCAGGGGAAGAATTCCTCCCCAACAGGCCCCACTTCAGACACAACTGTGGACATGTCACACAGTGGTCACATGAAGAAGGCAAAATTCCAACCTCATAGCCTTCATTTTTAATAGAAAAAGAAGAATGATTGGAAAAAAATTCTCTGCCTGAGGATGTGCTTATCCCCAAGGCTGGAGCAACACCTGCCTGACCTTTTCAGAAGGAAAAGTCACATCCCGAGGGCTTAAACATCACCAGTGCCAAGGACTGACACAAACCACTTAAGCCTTGCTGAACCAGAGGATTTTACAGGGCTGCTCCCTGTGGTTTCCTCTCCTGTGCACAGCTTTGGTTTCGCCTTCTAAATGTATAAATAGACAAAAGGGTTCAACAAAAGTGTTCTCCTTAGAAATGGAAATGCTCCCTCAGTAGTGCTAACAAGATGTCCAAGTGAGTCAGATGGTCTGTCCCAACTCCCATCATGGCAAGACCTACCTGAGCAAGAAGAGCTGTTCTTCCCTGGGGGAAAGATCCACACCAGTCACTGCCAAGAGGAAAAGGCACGAGCTCCAGGCAGAACAGTGGGAGAACAGCTGCAGCCCTGACTGCTGCAGGGTTACCAGGGCTCAGATAAATCCTCCCCAGCC